CGTCTAACCTTTTGCTCTAGTGTTTAACATCATGGTTTGTCGGTGGGAGGCACAACAAGACATGCCCGGACTGTCGAGCACCGGTGAAAGCGCAACCTGCTCCCGCATACTTGGTAAGCCCCTGACATCATGCTCATTTCTGATTCGATGCGCAACAGGCACTAACTGAAGTACTCAAGGTACGCGCTGTTGTTCAAATGTTCACAAGTCGCCCGGAGCTGCTTGATAAGGGCGAGACCACAGTCGAACACCTAAATCATCAACGCGAGGAAGCGGAACGACTGGAAAAAGACAAAACAAATACACACCCGTGGGAGGGGGGACTGTTCCGTGGTACGTTCAACAAGAAGATTCCAGTCGCGCAACCTATCGTGGACCTCGAGGACAATGTTGTGCGTTGTCCACGTTGTTCGTGGGAGCTAGAGGAAGATGAAGGGTGTGCACAGTGCGGATATCGACAAGATGACGAGTCTGTGACTGGCAGTTCGGGCTGGAGTGAGTCAGACGGAAATTCCGAAATGACGGACTACTTGGACGACGATGATGAGATTGAAGATGGGTTTGGAGACGCGGACGAATATGGTTGGGACCCCAACCATGACCACTTGCCCCTTGATATACAACCTGCCGACATAGATCAACTTTATCGTCAATGGTATGGCCTAGCTCCTGGCGACCTTCCGGGTATGCGTGCAAATGGGCCTTTCCGCCGGCAGAACCATTATGACTGGCCTTCTGGAATTTCGTCAGCTCTCGAGGAAGATAGCGACATGGATGAGGAGGATGAGGATGCGGACATGGATTCATTCATCGACGATGACTTGGAACACGATGATTATTCCGAATCTGACCGATCCACGGTAGTTGGGCGGCATGAGATCTCGATCACCCACACTATCGGAACTGACCTGTCAACCTTTGATGAGATGTCTGAGGAAAGCCTGGACGAGGAGAGCCTGGATGATGAAAGTCATGATGACGACGACGATGATGATGACGACGATGAGGATCCGATTCTGCCGCCTGCAGGTGGCATGCGGCGCAATCGCATCCAAACCTACCGAATACAGTCGAGTTCTCCATCTTGCGAGAATGGGACTTCTGGTACAGTCTCAGGACGCAGTGAATCCAGATCCCAAGCAGGATCCCGCAATGATCGACGGCTCCCACAGCAAGTGTCCGCCGGGTCTACTGTTATGGATGCAATCAGCGTGGATGACGATTCTGACGAAGGCCCCGTGCGACCAACTAGGCGGACAAGAGACAGGGGCCATCGCCGCCCCTCAGCCTACTAAAGCGCTCCGACATCTCATCTACGATTCCAATGACGATTGATATTACTTCCTAATGATCCATTATCTGCAACTTCCCCTGATTCTGCGGTGCTAGTTCACCCATCCTTGAGACCCCAAAAGAAATTATACCCTTCTATATTAGGCCTGCTACATACACACGAACAACCGAGCTGGCGATTTGATCTACGACCACGGAGAAAATACGAAGTCGTGTTCTATTCTACTTGCATCATCCCCGCGACCAAGGCTTATTCTTCCCTCTCAGGCCATTTGAAAATACCCCTGTTTTCGATCTCTTGTCTCTTGCTGCTCATTCAGTACCTTGGGTAAAGGTCGTTTCTAGGCGACGTTCGGTTTCTTATGACATTTCTGTTTAAGAGCACTTGTATCATCAAGCATCTTATGGCATAGTCTTCTGTTACTCCTCTTCTTTCCCGCTTTACTTTCATTCTAGATTGCAGGAAATGACAACCTCATTGATTGAGACAATACATACCAAAACTTCCCACACTGAATATGTGAACCATGACCAAGCAGTAGTTACCAGTATATCAGTAGAATAGAATAGAACACCCATCCTCCACCCTCCCAGCCACGAAAACCCCAAAGCCAGCACCACACAACACCCACAACCATACTACTACCAAATTCCACACTGCATCCTTCCCCGGCCCGCCCGGCATGACATACTAGTACTACCACCTACCCCTCCCCAAATTCCAATCCTAACCGCGCACATTCGCGTGCGCGCGTCACGGCATTTAGTGCTACATGAATAACCCTTAGTCCTTCCCGGCCAAGATACGAGTAAATACTTACTGCGTCTGATCATAAACCATAGCCGTAAATAATAATAATAATAATAGTAGTAGTATTATTGAGCTAAACTTAGTAACTACGTATGCAGCATGCCCCGCCCAACTCGCGGAGTCCACTAAATAGTATCTAGTCTAGGGCTCTAGGCACTAGGCAGATATCCCTATCCGCCTTCAGTCTAGTCGCCGGCTTTAGCGCCGGGGAATCAATGAACCCGTTAGCTAGACAAGCTAGACTTAGTGGCCTGCAGGTTGCAGGGTCGTTGTCACGCTCGGCGCTTATGTTGTGGGTTGAAGGGAGGGCTTGTCAGTGGCACATGTTGCTGGCTTTGTTGGGGTTAGTTCAGTTGGTTCGACTTGGTGAGGGGGTGGATGTTTTGTGATGAATAGTAATGATACTAATAGTAGGAGAGGAGTCATTCAAGAAAAATTGTCATGTTCAAAGGTATATACATCGTACAAAAAACCGGCTAAATCACGGAGATTAGAGAGATAGTAGAACAGGAAAGTACCTCGTCTAATGCGAACTTTTGAAAGCAATATGCAGAGACCACCGGCCCGGGAATAAAAGATACATGCATAAAATAGAAGGAGATATAGAATGCACAGACGCCTTGTTTTCACTACATTGCATACAGCCGTCCAGCGCCGCCACTAAGATCGGTTAGTCAGTCAGCGCCTCGATTTGATCATTTCGATTTTTCGGAGATGAATGGTACTTCGAACACCACGGCGCCGTTCCTACCGTCTGCGGTGGGGCCGTCATGGAAGTTGTTGGAGAAGCATTTGAACCTTGCTAGCCGATGTTCCTTGCCAACAGCGGCTACGATGCAGAGCCCATGTTGCTCGGGCGCAGACGGCTTGTTGTTGGACTTGGACTTGGACTTGGGTTCCGCTGGCGCTTGGCCTGGTTTGGCGGTTTCTGCACGACGCTCGAATACGGCAATGTCGTTGATAACACCCTTGACCAGCGGTTCGGCTTCCTCCTCGGCTTGCTGGGCCGGCGCACCGTCGACTGCCATGTGATCCGGGCTCGTTGGTGTGTCGAAAGCGAGGGTCTGCTTTAGTTGCTCGGATGGGGTATCGGGAGTAAGCGGGATGCTAGATCCTGCTCCGATAGGGCCCAGGGCAACGATAGTCTTTTTATCTTCCGAGATCTTCCAGGCCCGGATGAAGCCATCCCAGCTGCCACTAAGAACGACATCTGTGCCTGGAAGGGTAGTCAGAGCGGTGATCCAGCGGGGCATGCGCCGGAGGTGACGGGAGTTGTGTGCTGCGGTTTCCTGGTTGACTTCCGAGGAGAGTTCGTCCAGTGGAGGTAAGGGGTCGAGGCCGTGTGCGTGAGGGATCGTGTGAAGCGGCTTCTTCTTGTGAACGGACCAGAGAGAGATGGAACCTGAGTCCGATCCCGTAACGAAGTGGTTAGGAGGTAACGGCGCTACACAATCAATGTTGTTCTCTTGATAGGAGGCGCTCTTAGAGCCACCACGGAAGATCAATTGGGATTCCTCGATAACTTTCCACAACCTGGCCGTGCGATCGCGCGCTCCCACACTGACACACTGATCGATGGCCATGGCGGCGACGGACGTAACATGGTCTTGATGTCCGAAGAGTGTTTCAACATAGGCATGACCGGCTGTACTCAAAGACCAGGTCTTAATGGTCCGGTCATAAGAGCCAGAGAAGAGCTGCTCTCCGGAACTCATGGTAGATATATGACGAGCGAAGGCAAGACCACTGACAGCGTCGCGATGTTGTGTAAAGGTCTTCAAGGGGGTAAGAGTCTCCGCATCCCAGACAATGAGTTTCCGGTCTTGTCCTCCCGTGGCTACAAATTTTCCGGACGGCGACACTGCGACAGACAAGATGTTCTTGGTATGGCCATGTTCTTCTCCCGTCTCCGCAACCTTTCGCAAGCCCCGTACAAACCTGACCTGCTTTGGCTTCTTCCGTTGGGGCGCTGGAGGACGTTTAGAAGTTTCGTTTGTCGTAGGAACCGTGGAGGTGGGTGTGGCGAGTTCCCATTTGATCAAGGTCTTGTCCTTCGAAACGGTGTAAACGTACGGCGCGTGGACTGCAATTGACGTAGTTGACTGCGTATCTGCCCGGAAGAAGGTATGGGAGGCCGTCGAGAAGGCCAATTCGGAGGCGATCTGACGATAAACGCGTCCTTTGAATTCATCCTGCAGTTCTCGTCAGCTCTGCATGTAAAATGCCCGACCAGCCGAACAGGAGCGGAATGGGTCGATGGATACGTACAACATCCTCCTTCAGCCTTTCTGCGATCAAGTCACGATCGATCTCGGCTGCATCAAAGCCATAGTCCTCAACCTCATCCCGGACATTCTCCAAGTACCGCTCCGCAAGCTTCAATCTCCGGTCTCCGGCTGTCTCTCCCTCGTCGGAATCCGAGCCACTTTCCTCCTCCGACAAACCTGATGCGCCACTGAGCTCATCCTCATCGATGTCACTTCCCGAAACCGACGGCTCCCTAGTCTTCTTCTTGCCACTCTTTGCGCCCGCATCTCCGTCTCCATCGACACCTCGTTTCTTAGACGCGGGGGCGCCGGCGCGGTCTTCTCTCTTGCGCTTCCGCTGCGAAGCGGGCAGGGTGAAAAAGGACGACATCACCCAATGTAATTGACAGAAGCTCCGGGAGTGGAAAACGGGCGGTAAAAGAGGGTCTGGAGGGGAAGAAGGCTCTGGCAAATTGGCCGATGCGATGGAGATACTCGGTTTCTCACTTTTTTCTGCCGGTGGACCGTGCAGGCGGAAGGCGCATCAACTTTACGCCTAATTGCTGACTCAGCGCGGAGCTCAGGCCTAAGGCAGTAAGGCAACAAGAGCCGCAGCTCCAGGCAGTCAAAGCTCCGCGCGGCCAACGATGGGCTCTCGACTGTCATCTTCCCATCACCTCTTCCATTACCGCCCTCTCTTTCATCTTTCCTCTAAAATAATCACACCCTGAGATACTACAGACATGTAAGTCCACCGAAATTTATATCGATGGACACGACGCTCACTCATCCTCGTTCACAGGGAGGTTCTACTCGGCATCACTGGCAAGGACTTCGTCATTCTGGCGGCCTCCAAGGCTGCCATGAGAGGCCCCACCATCCTCAAAGCCGAAGATGACAAGACAAAGCAGCTGAATGAACACAACCTTATGGCCTTCTCCGGAGAGGCGGGAGACACGGGTTCGTCGCAGCTTCCCCAGTGATCGGAGACGCGGAACCTCCAGGAACTACATAGCTAACCCGGAGCTCAACTAGTACAATTTGCGGAGTACATCCAAGCCAATATCCAACTATACACGATGCGGAATGATACCGAGCTGGGCCCGAATGCGGTTGCTAGCTTTGTTCGGGGAGAAATGGCGCGGAGTCTGCGGTCTCGGAATCCCTACACTGTCAACCTCTTGCTGGGAGGTGTCGATCCCATCACGCACAAGCCTCACCTATACTGGATTGATTACCTGGCATCACTGGCACCTGTACCATATGCTGCTCACGGATATGCACAGTAAGTGCGGGCGCTGGGTAACAGCGGTCTCAGCTGTTGGGATTCATACTAAATTGCTCTAGATACTACTGTCTGTCCACCCTTGATAAACACCACCACCCCGACATTTCGCTCGAAGAGGGAATGAAGCTTTTGGAAATGTGCACAGACGAATTGAAGCGCAGACTACCGATCGATTACAAGGGGGTATGTTACCAGAATCATAGGCCCTGGAGTGCGAGCGAGTACGGGTAGCTGACAGCTTCTAGGTTCTGGTGAAGATCGTGACTAAGGACGGCGTGCAAGAAGTACCATTCGATAATAACAGGATTGTCAAGAGTGCCTAATGTGATGTATCATACCAATGATTGTCTAATGTTTTCGGTTTCACGGGACTTGGGTTTCAAGAGAAGATCGGTTTGCATGGCAGGGTATTTTCCATGGCTTTGACCGAGACGAAGTCTCTCCTATTGTTTAGCTAGGTAGAGACAATATCAATGATTTCTCGAGAAGTCGCTTTGTCCGTAATATCGTAACACTAGCGCACCTAGCTTGATGCCGCCGGGTTGCGATTCCATGATGCCGTATGTAACCAAGCACCTTATGACGCTGTGCGGGTGTTTGGCATGTTTGCACACGGCGGTTTGCATCGCGTCCTTCGCAGTTTGAATCCCGCAACCCCAGCAGCTTCCCTCACAAATCTCGCCATTCTACCCAGTCATGATGTCGAAGAGACAAGCTGAGCTGTCGCTCGAGGAAGAGCTTGCAGCAGGCTCCCCTGCCTCGAAGAAAGCGCGTGTGGAGGATGAAGAGCTGTCGGAAAATGATCCTCGCCGTGGAGCTTTGCCGATTCGCCGGGCGACTGGACAGGAGCTTGAAGAACATGAGCGCAGCGGACAGAATATACTTGCGGCTGCCGACCAGGAAGGCGAAGAGCTAGCGGAAGCAGCGCAAGATGGAGGCCCCGAATCGTCCGATGTTGATGCTGATGACGACAAACCGGTTATCGCGGCCCCGAAACGTCAGAGCGCCCCCATGGAGGGCTACAGCGACCTGTACCTCGATACGATCAATCGTGAGATCCTCGACTTCGATTTTGAAAAGCTATGCTCAGTCAGCTTGTCGAACATCAATGTATACGCTTGTCTGGTGTGCGGCAAATATTTCCAGGGCAGAGGACCGAAGTCGCATGCTTATTTCCATGCGCTTGAGGTTGGACACCATGTTTTCGTCAATATGGGTACCAAAAAGGTCTACGTTCTCCCGGAAGGATATGAGGTCAAGAACCAGAGCTTGGATGATATCAAATACGTGGTGGACCCGTACTATAATAAGGATGAAGTGATGAAGCTGGACAAGGAGGTTCACGACGCATTCGACCTAGCAGGAAATCGTTATAGGCCTGGTAAGACACCCAGGTCGTTTATGTTGCTAAGTGCAATGTGCTAATATCCCCAGGCTTTGTTGGTATGAACAATATCAAAGCCAACGATTATCTGAACGTGGTGGTCCAGCTCTTAGCTCACGTCTTCCCCATCCGCAATTACTTCCTGCTGCACGAATTCCCTCAACCAGGAACGCCTCAATTAGCCCTCCGCTTCAGTACTCTAGTCCGAAAACTATGGAACCCCAAAGCATTCCGCTCACATGTATCTCCACACGAACTGTTGCAGGAGATCGCTCTCCGCTCATCGAAGCGCTTTACCCTCACACAGCAGTCCGACCCGGTGGACTTCATGTCCTGGTTCTTGAACAACCTTCACCTTTCTCTCGGAGGTTCCAAGAAACCATCCAAGACCCCTACAAGCGTTGTCCAAGCCGCATTCCAGGGTCACTTGAGGATCGAAAGCCAGGCTATCACAGCCCACTCAGATACTCAAAACGCACGTTTAGTGTTCACCGAATCCGGTTCCATCAACAGCCAAACGACACCCTTCCTCATCCTCACCTTAGATCTACCACCCACGCCTCTCTTCCAATCCGCCAACCGGGAATCTATCATCCCGCAAGTCCCTCTGACCACCCTCCTGAACAAATACAACGGAACCACCGCCTCCGAAAAACTCGCCCACAGAGTCCGGCACAGGCTCCTTCACCCCCTTCCTCCCTACCTCCTATTCCACATCAAGCGCTTCAGCAAGAACCGCTTCGTCTCCGAACGAAACCCCACAATCGTGACCTTCCCGTCCCCTCGCTCATTAGACATGTCGCCATATGTTGAGCCGAATCCAGAGATCTGGCCGCCAGGCGAACCGATCCTCTACGACCTCGTCGCAAACATCATTCTCGACCCTACTGTCGCTGCCCCAGGTGCCCACGAGGAAGCCGCAGCAGACAAAGGAGTCAATGCAGCTAGTGGAAAAGCCTCGTCAGGGGCTGGAGCAGGAAGCGAGAAAGTCTCCTGGCTTGTTCAGTTGCATGATAAAGCTATGTCTGCGGAGAATAGTCGGCTTCAGAAAGAACATGCTGGCGAGCAGCGTGGACCCGAGTGGCTGGAGATTCAGGATCTGTTTGTGAAGCGGGCCGAAACCGAGACTCTGTTCACGAAGGAGGGGTACTTGATGGTATGGGAGCGTCGGAAGGTCCCTGGCATGCCGAATCGCAAAGGGAAGAACCCGGCTAAGTGATACCGGGATGTCTTTGGATGTGAAGTCTTGTCAAATATTCCTTGTTGAATGGCCCCAATCGTAGGCCTCGCAAAGGAGGGGCTACTGTATAATTAAGAATTTACGACGATGATAGAATCAATATTTCTCCCGAGTTATTTTTGGTCTTGCAACCATAGCTCATACTGAGTGATTCTGTTGAAGTTACTCGGTCACTAGGGGCTATAAAGTAATAAGATGATACGAGAAGGATTAAGTGACGGTGTCCATTATGTCCAGTAATATGTGCAATGAAGAGAAAAGCGACGGCGGCCGCAAAGAGCCACTCTGTCAAATGAAAGTAATGCGGCTAAAAGGCCATCTCAGGATTTTATAGCCGGCAGAAAGATTACAATCTTCATAGGGTTCCCCAGCCGCAAAACCTTCTTCCGATCTTGATGGCGGCACCAGATATGACACCCCAGACAGTGGCATTCACGGCAGCTTGTATTCCAGTTATGAGGGCGATCTTTCCAAGGTATGACAACATGTCTGATCGTGGTGTCAAACTCCAATCTCCTAACCCTCGGACATCAGCTCGGAGAGCGGTAGGAGCGTGAGTAGACCGCAGATATGACGCAGCAAGGGACCGCAGGTAGAGGGATTCGAGGGGTATGAACATAACGTTTGTTAGTATAGACGCTAGATGCGATGCTAACGAGTCGACAGGGTGAGAGGAGAGAATGGTCACCCGATTTGCAGTGGCGGTTCCACTAGGTACCATATTTTGACGAATATTAGGGTCGGAAATTCGGGGAAATATCTCGGAATCAAAGTCATTCTCATGGGCTCGCTCTGCTTCGGGTGATTGATGAAGTGTGTCACCAGGTGATGGTTCCTCTATGCTCTCAGGCAGGATATTCACCGGATTTGACGTAGGAGCTTCAGCAGGTGGCCGTTGTGGTTCGAGACTTTGAATGTTACCCGGAGAGGCCGAGCCAAGGTTGTCACTGATAGGCATAGGCGATGCGCTCGTGGTCATATTGGAGAGCCCATCACTATCCATATTATCCGAATTAACAACCGTGGTTAAATTCCTGCCCTGGTTGGACAAAAGGCTATCAAGAAATTCAGAAATCGTTTGCCCGTCTACCACCTCGCCATTGGATGGGAGTTGAGAGGCTTCATTTTGAGGTCGTGCAGTTGCCTGTCCTTGGTTCTGAGGGCGGCGGTTTCCCAAAAGCTCCAGCTGCATTGTGATGACATCGGAATTTTGATGGATAAGAGAAGCCCGGACCCGGGGTGAAGCTGGAGAAGAGGTCGCAGGTGATGATGGACGGGAGAAAAGCGTATTTGATCGCGAGTTCCGGTTATTCTCGCCTGCATCACCACGCCGTGACTCTCCGTTTGGTAGAGCTGGCGAGTTGTCGTCTGGTGGAGGTAATGTCCCTGCCCTCCGTAAAGGAGCCATTTCCGCGAGGTCGCCACTACTCATTTCAGTTGGCGACTGAGACATACGGTTTTCCTCATTGGCAAGGACTTGGTTACCACCGAAGCCAGCTCCTAGATCAGCTGTTTGATCGATCGAGCCTCGATTTGGAGTATCAGAACGTGTTGGGTCATGATGGATATGCCCATTTGTAAACGGGGACTCGGATGACCGTCTTCGTGGTCGACGGGTTCTGGATTGCCGCTCATGCTGCAACTGCTCTATGCTTTGAGGAAGGGACTCCAGCCACTCTCGTCTACGACGAGCGTCTGCTGCTTGCTCCGACGCTCGTGCCGTGCGCAATGATTTGAGGCCAAACCAGGATAGCACCCATGATCGAAAGAAGCCTAGCTCGTACATCAAGTCTTCCGTGAAGGAGAGATTACTGCGACGGTTCTCTTCCTCTGATCGACGTCCGAGAGCTGGCATCATCCAGTCGATAAGATCATTGTCGTACGCCACTTTCACAGAGAGTTCGTCCGCGTAGATAGGCTTGGGCAGTCTTCGCCGAATAAATCTATAAAGCCTTACCTCGACTACTGGGCGTAGACATACCGATAGGTACACGAGTAAAGACGGGGTTTTAAGAAGGCCCAGTAGGAATCCGCTAAGAGACTCGATAGACAGGTCTGTGGGTGAATTGGGTAGCTGCATTGAAGCTAGCTCTCCAAAGGGCAGAAAGAAGCGTATCCCGGGCATAGAGTGAGCAGGAACGATGTGAAGGGATTGTAAGAGGGAATACATGTACGTCTGTATCGCCAGGACCAGCATGGTTCCTCTTCCCCTATACATGATGTTAGAAGATGGTGAAAGGTTGGTATGGGATTCTTACGCTGAATATACGACATTCAACAATGCCCGTATAAGCCTCGAGCCCACGTCATCTTCCGGGAACAAATTCTGCAAGAAAGCAATTAAACGTTCCAAGGGGTGATGTCGACAAAAGGATATGCATGTAGATACAGCCCATGCCGGGATCCCGGCAAAATAGAAGCCCCATATTCCGTAGGCAGAGCGCTCAAGACGGACTATGCTCAACAGGGGCAGCCGCGTATAGCTCTTGAAGGTCTGAGGTATATGATTAGCCCACTGTCCCATTGCTATAGATTCCATGACTGCATATAGGGCTCTCACCTGTACCCGACCCAAAAGAGAAGAAGTCCACCAAGAGCCAAGGAAGATTGAGACTTGGTCCAGAGTGGCCATAACCAAGCCATAGTCGTTTTCCGCAGCTATGATATCGAGCTTCTGCTGTTCGCTGGGCCCACTAACATTACCATCTTCGCTGACAACAATCCCCATTGTGGAAAGGATGTCATTCTTGGCCCTACGGAGTTCCCTGCCAAAGGACTTAGATTGGGGGTTGATTGGATGGCCTCTTTCATCATAATGCTGGACGTATCCGTCCGCATGTAAGCCTGATACTGTCCGCTGTGTGACATTTCCTGGGTTCACCGCAGAACTCGCAGGGCGCTCAGGAGCTTCGTAAGGAGACCGGCCCTAGATAACTGTTAATTATTCAGTCATTACAATAGATGGCAACGCGTAAAATGAAGGCGAGAGGGTAGAGGCGTGACAGCCCCTTTTAAGATGAGAACACAGGTGGGTATGAAGACGAGACCTGCAGATATGCCTAGAAGGGGGATCTCATTCACGTTGATTGCATATTACTTCAGGAACAGACTTTCGCGCAGACAACAAACTACATCAGATGTGTCCCCACTCGTAGCTGAGCATATACAAGAAAAGAGACATGAGCCTACCAGAGCCAGCCTATTGAGATATGCTCGCCGCCCCATCGCGTGAGCATGTCAACAACGTTCATCGAAAAGTAACCGCGGGGGGCATTTCTGCCTTGATGAAGATGTCCGAGACCAGCAAAAGCAACTCGATGGGTTGTGAGATCGATGGTGGTCCTGCCCCAAATGGTAAGTGTCAGTCATGTAAGCGGCTCCGGCGTCTGAAGCGGTTAGATCACGAGCTAGCGGGGTTCCACCAGCTCGTCAAACAAAGCAAACATCTCGAAAAAAGACCCAAAAGTTTCGGTGCGACGGCGACTCGGACGGCGGTACGCAACTGCCATTTCCTTTGAAGGCGCGGATTTGTTCTGTCATATGATGGCGCGGTAGATTTCTAGACTTCTGGTTGTTGAGAAAATTCCCCCATCATGTCCAAAGCCGTGGTTAAGACGACCTTCGAGGCGTCTCGAACTCTTCGTCCCATCTACACCGGAGGAAGCACTGCGCTGGATGCTAGTGGTCGTCTATTGGCGACTTGCATTGGCGAGGATGCTCTCGTCGTCGACCTTGAGACCGGCGACCAAGTTGCCAGCCTTGAAGGCGTAAGCTTCTCTCATGCATTCAGAAGTCGCAAATAGCTAACCCGGATGTTCTAGGATGGCGAAATAATCACTAGCTTGGCCAGTATGCAACTCTCCCTCTCTCTTACTTCCCTTTCCTACGCTAGCTAAGAGGTATGTACTGACTGCGCTTAGTTTCTCCATCGGCTTCGCACGTCGTTCTCTGCTCGCGCTCGATGTCCATGCGCATCTACTCTCTGACTCCTTTTGATGAAAACACACAAACCGTCGAGGCCAAACTAGCTAGAATTTTGAAACCTCACACAGCTCCTGTCGTCACCACAGCGATCGATCCCACGGGTACTCTCCTAGCAACTGGCGCTGCGGATGGTTCTATCAAGGTTTGGGATATTCGGGGTGGATACATCACGCATACTTTCCACGGCCATGGTGGTGTTATCTCGGCGCTGTGTTTCTTTCAAGTACCTTACCAGGACAACGACAAGGCATCATCAAAGAAGAAGAAGAAGCGGTCCAAGGGCAAGAATCTTGACTCTGATGAGGATGAGGACATGGATGAAGTAGCCGATTCGATCGGCGCTTTTCGACTCGCTTCAGGTGACGAGGAAGGTATGGTCCGCGTCTGGGATTTGAATAAGAGGAAGCCCATCGCATCGTTGGAATCGCACGTCTCCGTTGTCCGGAGTCTTTCGTACTCACCCGCAGAGAATGCGCTGCTCTCTGCAGGCCGCGACAAGACTGTCATTGTGTGGGATGTGCGGACTTTCAAGACACGCCGTGTTATCCCCGTTCTTGAGAGCGTGGAAGCAGCTTGCTTCGTCGCTGACAGCGGATTGTGCTTGGTGGGAGGAGAGAACGGCCGTTTGCGTGTTTGGGACTGCAACCGCGGAGGAGAGGTTACTCACGAGCAAGAAGCTGCAGCCGAGTTCGAGGCCGTAGTGGCGATTCAGTATTCCGCGGGCATGTCATTCGCAATGACTGTGCATGCTGACCAAACCATTCGACTGCACTCACTTCAGCCACTCGCCGACTACAAAGCTGGGTCTACGTTTGAGCCGCTGCCGGTTATTAGGCGCATCTCCGGCAACGATGATGATATTATCGATCTTGCATATGTCGGTGCCGATCGGTCGATGCTTGCGTTAGCTACCAACACCGAAAGCATAAGGGTGGTTTCAGTTGGACCGTCCGAGGATAGGCCAGCTACCGGAGAGGGTGACTACTTTGGTGCCGATGTCACACACTTGGAAGGCCACGACGACATCATTATTTGTATCGACGTTGACTGGTCAGGTCACTGGCTTGTTACCGGCGCAAAGGATAATACTGCACGTCTTTGGCGGCTTGACCCCAAGAATTCCTCTTACACCTGCTTTGCTGTCCTCACTGGACATGCAGAGTCGCTCGGTGCCATCAGTTTCCCCCGAGCTCCTCCGCCAGTCAACACCCCTGCTCACAACGACCCCTTGAACCATCCCCCTGCTTTCCTGCTCACAGGATCTCAAGATCGTACTATCAAACGATGGGACACGGGTAAATTGGCTCCTCTTAAGTCTTCCAAACCTCACAACCCCAAGGCCGTGTACACACGCAAAGCCCATGAAAAGGATATCAATGCTCTGGATATTAACCCGACATCGACATTGTTCGCATCCGCGTCCCAGGACCGTACTGTGAAGATTTGGTCCATCGAGGATGGCTCCGTTGTGGGTGTCCTGCGGGGACATAAGAGGGGAGTATGGTCAGCACGATTTGCTCCTCGTGGTACCCCTATCCTCACCTCCGACACGGGAACGAGCACAAACCGAGGCATGATTGCTACTGGATCGGGAGACAAGACTATCAAGATCTGGAGCTTGTCGGACTACAGCTGTCTTCTCACTTTCGAAGGTCACACGAACAGTGTGCTCAAGGTGATCTGGCTGCCACCTTCGGACTTGTCTACCAAGGAGGAGGATGAAGACGAAGCAATGACACATAATGCAGTTGCGCAGGCGAAACCTCTGGTTGCGTCTGCGGCCGCAGATGGCTTGGTGAAGATTTGGTCCCCTTACAGCGGCGAGGTTGAGACGACTCTCGACAACCATGAAGACCGTGTCTGGGCTCTGGCCAGCCCGACGCCATCTGGCTGCCGTGACGATGTTCTGTCCTCATCTACGCTCTCACAAACCTCTCCCTATGGCCTTGCCTCTGGTTCTGCCGACTCAACTGTTACCTTCTGGACAGACACGACTTCGGCCACTTACACCGCTACAGTAAACGCCAACTCAGCTCGTATTGAGCAAGATCAACAGCTTCAGAACTACATTCGCGCCGGGGCTTATCGCGAAGCCATCACACTTGCACTTCAGCTCAACCACCCAGCCCGGCTACTGTCCCTGTTCACTTCTGCGATAGATGCTGCAGAGGACCCAACAGCGACCGATTCCGAAGCCAGCGAGCGTGCCAACAGCCTAACTGGCAACCCCTCGATCGACGAGGTTCTTCAAACTCTTGACCCGGAAAACCTCTGTACACTCCTTCTCAGACTTCGTGACTGGAACACGAACGCCCGAACATCCAGAGTCGCTCAGCGGATCCTGTTCGCTTTGTTCCGCTCCTACCCAGCTTCAACATTTGTGGAGCTTGCCACCTCAAGCATGGCGAAGCGTCGCCGCGAAGGTCGCACTTCAGCAGGCATGAAGGATATCCTGCAAGCGCTGGCCTCGTATACTGACCGGCATTACCGCCGTGTCGAAGAGCTTTCCGACGAAAGCTACCTCGTGGAATGGGTTCTTGCAGAGATGGACGGTGGTGTGGGACTCGGGGGCCTAGGCGTTTCTACCCCGTACGACCCTTACAGCAGTCTCCCTGAAGACAGTGTCCCAGAGCATGAAAAAGACGTGGTCATGCTGGGGGTATAGGAGAACCCAAGTGTGGATAAAAATAAGACTTTTGAATGAGACTATGTACAAATAGACCAAAGTTAATCTGCATGATCTTTGCAAATACCGTGTGTATGTTGGCGCTTTCAGTGGGAGTACTTGTTCTGTTTTTGTTAGGAGACCAGCATATAAAAAGTTCTTTCTTTTTCCAGATGATACTACCTGTTCTGGATTAGAGGCTGTTGAGGCAAGTAGTATTTTACATGGCTATGAGATCTGTTGTCGGTATTGAAACGTCAGCGTTAATAGTGTCACTATCGATAGTCCTTCCACACGCCCTTAGTCATACAAAAATGGTATCAAGATCATAAGTAGTATATGCGGATTTGAATATGTCTATGAAACTCAAAGGTCTTCCTCAAATCATCGATCATCGTCTCTCCTTCTCCGGACGGGAGTCGCGATCACTGTCTCGCTCCCTAGCACGGTCACGATGTCTGCTCGATGTATGCGAGGAAGAGTGCCTCGAGCTACTATGGCGATCATCATCTCGATACCGTCTGCTGCGGTCTCGATCCCGATCTCTGTCCCTGTCACGCTCTCGTTCCCGGTCCCCATTTCGATCGCGATCCCGGCGATAGTCACGATCCCGGTCCCGGTCCCTGTCCCGGTAGTAGCGGTCATCTCGACTGTCACTGTCTTCATTTTCGTATTTGCGCCGTCTTGAATGCCGGTCACTGGATGACAAACTCCGGTCTCTCCTTGAAGATCCCGTCCTGCGTCTGTCATAGCGATCACTGTCATCGTCATCGTAGTCGCGACGCCGGGAGTCACGATCGCGATCCCTATCACGGCCACTCTTCTCCAAATTGCGATCGCGTCGTTGCTTCCATTCATCCTCATCGCCCCGTTTCTTGACATCCTTCCGTTGCGCAGCAAGTTCCTCCTCTGTTATGAATTCGCCCGTTTGCTTGTTCCGCATCATAATGGGCATATATACACCCTCCGGGTTGGACTCGCCCTCCTTCCCTCCCTTCCTAGAGCCTTTCCGCATGGCAGCTTTGCCCCATGCGCCGAGCTCGGCCTCTGCACCCTTCCCACCAGACACATCTTTCGCTCCGATCCCCAGGAACCCGGGACGGCGCTCCGGGACCCGCGGCTTATTGTCCTGATTTGCAGAACCACCGTATTTTCCTCTTCCTACAGCTTGACCCTCCTTCCACCCCATACCACGAAGTAGCGCAGCGCCAAACTCCTCAACCGGGATTGCGTTATACTGATCCAAGCTCGCAGATTCCGGGCGCGCCGCAACATCCGCTCGAAACGAAGAGGTCTCATCATACCGTCCTCCGGCCCGATCATCGTCATCCCGATTAACCGACTCAATAACAAGATCCGACCTGCGCTCCGGCTCACCCTTCGTCTCCCGAATAAGCGCCTGCAGAGCAATCTCATCCTGGGTAAGTGGCTTGCGTTCTTCCTCAGCAGCAGGAGTAGCAGCAGGCCCAGTAACACCCTTCATCGGACGATCATTATCCGTCGGCTGGGCTGAATCCTGCGAAGCCGGCTGCGCAAAAGTCAATCCATAAGCCACACTCGGACGCTCTGTCTCAACATTGTCTCCAGCAACTTCGCCCCTTTTCTGCGCTTCCTGAATGGCCTGGACCTCCTTTGGCAAAAGGTTCTTGCCCTTAGGTTTCCGGAGATTGACGCCCGGGCGGTCCCTCCAATTATTGTTTCCGGCAACGGGTATAACCAGCTCGCGCTTTTCTTCCACCTTGTTTGCGGGGATGGCGGTTCCCGTTAAGGTGTCGAACCCGGTGACGGCTTCGTGGGTGGGCGCAGCTTCTTCATCGGATTCTTCGTCATCGTGCAGGTGGTGAGGTCGGCGCGCGAGTGTTCGGCTAGGTGGGTCGGTGGAACGCGCCGCGCCTTGAATGTTGAAGGACGTCTTTTTCGGCGGGCCATTTGCTGGTGCTCTTGTGGAATTTCCGCCTAGCGATAAAGAGAACGGCTTCGCTGAGGAACCGGAGTCCGCATTGCCGCTCTGCGGCGGTTGGGAGGACGACATTGTGACGGTGTGTCTTCGTGAGCTGCTGGTCTGGAAAGAACTAATTAAAAGGTTGGAAATCTGCCTTCAATCCATAGGTGCGATATGAGCACCCGCGGCGTATGGCGAGTCTGTACTGGGTATGTAGAACTGAAGCTGGTGGAGGACTAGACAATCGGCGGGATAAAAAGAAGGCGGTGGCAAAAGACGCGGGCTAGACGCGCGCTTAGACCCATCCCCAAGGCAATTACGAAGTAGTGCAGGTGCGTCAATTATTATCAATAGTAAGCGTACAGTCGTAGTCATTAATTCTCTTTTGCTCTAATGCAATCCATTCCAAATGACGTTCCAATAATTTCCTGACCTTTTTGTAACCGTCCTATCAATACATGTAGTACAAAGTTGAAAATGGAGGGGGACATGGCCCCGGTCGATAAAATGGAAGCCATTTGTGCATAACAGGCAACCGGCTAAAAGCCGGTGAAAATCTGCCGGTATAACAAGAGAAATCTGGAGAAAGATAAGACAGGAAGGTCTGTCTCGCAAAGCAGGTAGAAGTGTTGGGGGGAGGTGAAAAGGACGAAGGGGTTGGAGGCAATAAGGGTGGAGTTGATAAAGAGGATTGGAGGGTGTCAAGGTGGGTGCTCGAAGCAGGGATAGTGAATAAAAGGTGATAAGGTGGGTGGGAAATATTTACAACGAAGAAGAGAAGATAAAGGCAAGGTCATTTAGCTTGTCGCCGTCTGAGCCTGCGGAGGGTTAGGACTCTTGCTTGTCCCGGCCACTGCGCCAGCCTGGGCACTGCCACTGCGCTGGGTTTGCGGCGTCACACTCCGGCTCGGCTGAGGAACCGCCCCGTTCATAGCAGGGGAGCTCCCTACACCGACACGATTTTGCTGGGCAGGTTGGGGAACACGCATCATGGGGGAATATCCTTGAGCCTGAGGTACTTGCATACCAGGCGCACCATTCAAACCCGGCTGCGGGGACTGGAAACTGGCCTCGTGGGGAATTTGGTAATTGGCTTGCACGCTGCCAATATTTCCAGCAGCAGCACTCATGGCAACTTGGGACATGCGCTGCTGTTGATACTGATGCAACCGATCCGTAGCAAGCTTGTTAACCTGCTCCGGAGGCATGTTCGGGTTGCTCCGCTGTATTTGGCTTTGGATGGTGCTGATAGTTGGGACCACACCACCGGAGAGGAGATTGGGTTGAGCCATGCGGGGAGAGGGCGTAGACACTCCCTGTGGGGTGGTATTGTGAAAGGATGGGCTTTGCATTCCACCTCCAGCCTGCAGCGCCGCCATCATCGCAGGGTTGTTTGGAGTGCCGTTGACGTTCGGCATATTCAGATTCGGAGAATGGGATCCTTGTGGCACAAACTGCTGTTGATTATGGAATTGCTGCTGTGGCTGTTGGGGCTGAGCCTGCTGTTGATGAGGAAGTTGTTGTGGCTGGGCCTGCTGTCTGGTCTGGAGGATCCGTTGTTGCTCTTGAAGCCGATTCGCCTCCCGCATAACACGCGTATTATCAGGAGGTGTCTGCATGGGCATCCCAGGGCGGGCACCATTGTTCTGTTGGATTCCCGACTGTGGCATCATCTTCATCGCCATTGGATTCGATGGCATGGGTCCATTCACAGGTGTAGCGTTGGGCATACCCTGCATATGGGGACGTCCTTGGTTAGCACCAACTCCGGGGGGCAACCCGTTGGGCAACGCATTCGGAAGGCCATTTGCAGTGTTGCCGGTCATAGCAGAAGTTCCAGGGTTATGAGGCAGGCCGCCAGGAGTGCGTCCTGGGGCATTCATCATCGGCTGCTGGTTAGGTATTTGCCCGGCACGTTGGGCTGCTAGGTTCGCCTTGAGCATAAATGTTAGTCAAGAATAGAGTGCACGAAAAGAGAAACACGGTCATACTCTTTGCTGGGCAATCATTTGCTGCCGGTATTGTTCTTGCCGCTCCTGAAGCTTCAATTCACGCTCGTACTTGAGTCGGCTGAATTCAGCGGGCGACGTAATTGGAGGTTTCGGTTGATTTGCTTCGTTTACTTTCCGTAACGATGCCAAGTGCGAGGCTATAGGAAATCAAAGCAGTTAGCAATAGCCAAAGCAAATATGTAGTTTCACATCTTACCATGTTGCTGCTTCTGGAGCATGGTCTCTCGCTTCTTAGCCAGTTTACGCATGGCATCAAGCAATGCAAGGTGCTTAGAGGATCTCTTGCGATCGACCCTGACAGGTTGCGTCGTCCGCCTTCGAACTTGGGGTACTGACTGCGGATTGCTGTTGTTGCCCTGTTGTTGCTGTTGTTGTTGCTGCTGCTGCTGCTGCTGCTGTTGTTGCTGGGCGGCTTGTTGTTGCGCTAGTACAGTTCGCTGTGCTGCCTCAAGCCTTTGGTGATAAGCACGGAAGTACTGTGTCTTAGACATGTCGGCTGGCAAGCCTTCCAAACCGACCCAACGCTCAAAGCATTCCCAGGGGGTCCGCCTTTCTGCTCCCGATGTAAACTGTGATGACGGTGTGAGACAGTTGGAGATAAGAGACCAATTGTATGAGTACTCCTTGACTAAGCGCCGTAGCTCATCATCCTCTGCATATGTCCACTGAGACGACTGTCTAGATTCAAAGAAGCCAACGGAGGGCATAGGATGCTCAGTCGGAGGGCGAAATGAATGACCTGGGTGGATTCTATCACGTATATGTCTGTTTTCAGGTCGGAACAATGCGACATTGGTTTGTTCTGGCGGCAAATCCAGCACGGCTTGCTCGGGATCTGATTGGTACTGTGAGTAGTCGTAGCGGCTACGCTTGGGAGGTGGTTCGTCGTCATGGAAAGTGATTTTGCCCGACGCGTATTTCGAAACGGGCAGGATCTCGGTTTTCCATACAGAGTCCGGTGGTTCTTTGAATGCGGGCAAGTTCGTGTCTGGAGAAATAGTGACAGGTGTGTATGTTGGCAGATTATCAAGGATCTCTCGAGCTGCCGCTGTCATGTCCAATGAGAACGTGAACTCGTCGGTACCAAGGGAGAAGATCGCAGCTGGTGCAACCGTGTCATGAAGATCGTGGCGCGGCTCATCATTGAATCCTTCACTAACAGAATCCTCTTCAGTGGAGGGCACTAGATCTGGTGTAGGGTGAGATATTGCCGCCATTTCATCACCTGTTTCTTCAGGTGGCGAAATCATGCTAGATTTAGCTTCAATCTTCAATGATGGGGTCTTTACTTGAATGCGGAGCAGTGACTGATGCTCGGGGTCACTGTTAACATACTCCGCACACCAGTCAGCACAGCTTTTTGCAGCTGCAATCTTCCACTTCCGCTCTTCACGGAAATCAGTGCGCATCCACTTTACATGATCCAGAAGAACATCCCAATGTGTTGCCTCTCGAGGTGGTTCAACTGAACGTTTCAACTGACGCAAGGGCCATCGATTCGCATTTTGGAGGGAATAGATCCGGCGCAAGGTACGACAATCCATTTGTTCCTGGTAATCAAGGAAGTGGTTGGAAGTGGTTAAGGTCTTGTGGGCTGATGCGAGAAGTGTGCTGAGACTTGTACCCCGGGGAGGTGCGTATGCTCGATTCTGGAAGAGGGTGAAAAGATAGTCTTGTTCTTCATTAATCTTGGCAAGATCACCAGCGTGTTGCCGGACCAACTCCATAGACTCGCTTTTCTCTTGGATCTGTTGTTGTTGTTGCTGCTTTGGGAATACGACGGTAGACAATTTAGTTCTCTCTTTCTCACGCGCTTTCCGATCTTTGAACCGCATCCTGGCTGCAGAGTCAGGGGTCGCAGTGGACACATCCCGTGCTGATTCTGTAGGCTTCTCGGGCAGAGTTCCCTTGTCCGAAGGCGATACGGGCGTCTTTGGAGGTTCTCCCAGAATCTCAGAAACAGATTTATGTCTGATAGCGCCAGAGGACACCCTGGTTGTCATTCTTTCCGGTGGAGACGGTACCGGATGGGCTGGCGGCGTCGGTTTCTTTATCACTGGAGCTGTTTCCGTAGGCACCTTGCTGCTGGCCTCAGCTTGAGGTGCAGGCCCGGCTTGTGTGGAAGGCCGTAACTCATCGGTTGCCTCAATAACTCCGTCAGGCCTCTTATGATCGAGTGACGGAAGAGCCGGTGCCAGCTCGGGCGTTTCTCTCGGCGTTTCTTTGACGTCAGCCGGCGACGTCACAACATTTTCCTGGATGACCTCGCTCGTGACAGTACCTCCGTCAACCTCGTCCGCACTTGTCTTGACCGCAGCCAGGTTGCTCTGTTGGAATGATTGAGCCTCTTCCAGGCGAAGTTGCTCATCAGGCGTGGAAGGCACCAAGCTAGGCGGTGCCTTGACTGCCTCTTCATCTTTGGGACTTGGGATCTTGTGGGGCGCATCATTCATCTCCTCCGCAGGGCTGGTAGCAGGTGAAACGGGGACTGGCACCGGGGTATTATTGGAATAAGGCCCAGCTGAAGAAACAGGGGAGAGTGGCTGCTCAGGAACCTGGGCGGGCCGGCCCTGAGCGAGGGAAGGCCGTGTACCATCCTTCCTTTGAGCGTACGAAAGGTCTGGAGTTACAGATGGCCGGGCATCCACATTGGGCTTTGGCTGTGCCTGGACTGGGGATGCACTACCTTCACCGATGCCATTGCTAGAGACATTTGGACGTGCTTCCGTTGTCAATGTAGACACCTTGTTGTCAGTAGCTGATGGCTGCGCGGGATGCGCTATTGCAGGAGCCGAAACATCAGGCACTTGGGACACCTGAGATGCGATAGCAGGCGCGACTTGATTAGTTGCCACTCGGTGCTCAGGCTCGTGATCAGAAGGTCTCTGTTCTGTTATTTTCTGATACTTCGGCTGGCGCTCCACATCATTGGCAATGGCCTGCGCAGCAGCACTCTGGGCTCCCAATTGCGGGACGGAGGCCGTAGCATCGTGAGATTTGGCAGTCAATTCCGCTGGCACCGGTCGTGTCGCCGCAGCTGTCTCCTCTGCTTCCCTGGCTTTGCGCGCTAAAATGGACGCATAGTCTGGTAATGGTGGGAGTGTAGCTGGATTGAAATAACGACCTCTGAAAACAGTTAACGTATGCTTCTCAGTAAAGGTGGAGATACATGAAAGTAGTTGGAAATCCCACAAATTGGGGCGTGTAGATAAATTGGAAATAGTTTGGACATATGAAACAATAGCTATATGAGTGACTTTGATATAGGCGACTTACTTTGAGAGGTCGTTGGCGTCGAGGAACGCCTGTTCCTTGTGGTGATAGAGCGAGTCCGCCGGAGCGTTCTCGGTCGCGCCCGCGAAGCCTACGGTCGCAAAGTAGAGCTCGCTCAGTTTGCGCTTCCGCGACGACAAACAACGTCTAAAATTCCAAGTAAGCGATAATTCAATATCGCAAGGACCAGGGGAGTAGATTGGATCGCTGGGAAAAATAAAATACGTACGCGATCTCATCTTTCTTAGACCGGAGAAGCTCGTCACGGAGCATGGAGTCTATTTCGGGGAACACAGCATCCGATTAACGCGCTAAAATTAAGGGGAGTGGATTGAGCGAAGTCATCCAGATGGAAAAAATCGCTCAGAAATGATGAAAAGGATGGGGTTGTGTTGTTATGGGATGCAGAGGACACGACGCGAAGATTTCGCTGGGAAGGGATTTTTTGGGGGGTGTTAGTGGTGATGAGACTTCTGGACGGGTAGTATGGGAGGAACTTTGGTTGGTTGGTTGGAGGATTCTGGGTGAGTGCCGGGAGCAGCAGAGAGCGCCAGGTTTGGGTGTTGGTACTGCGATGGGTGGTAGTAGGCGGGTAGGAGTCCCCTAGCTATTCCTTAGATTCCTTACTAGGGGCGATAGTCCACCATTCCATGCCTGTTCCTTATGTAGGTATGATGTGAACCGCTGAATGGCTGGCCACCAGAAAAATTAAGGCCTGAGGCAGCAAACGAGGTACGTAGCGCCGGCGGCTTCCTTTCGCAGTTTTCTGTTGTTGCTCCCTTGTTGTTTTCTCTCGCGCTCACCCGAGTGATTGCCGCATTCAGACCCGCTGGACACCTTAGGCACTAATGGCTCGGAAAGACGCGTCTCACCGCCCCGACTCGATGATAACGTCCGGCAGAAAAAAAAAGTTGCCCGCTCAGATAGATGGTCTTTGATAGTTAGTCTGCAGAAGCAAACACATTCCACACCAATTCCATTCTATTAAACAGACCACAATCATGGTAAAGAGAAAGAGAGACGAGGCGGCCAAGGACCGCCAGAGCTCTACGCAGCCAGCCAAGGTTGTCAAGGCTACAGACAGTGAAAAGGCCCCTTCCACCTCAACGGCTGACGGTCCGTCAATCACGCTGCAAATTATCACCGGTTCCTACGAAAAGGTTCTGCACGGCTTCACCGCTGCTGTTTCACCTACCTCTTTATCATCTAAGGATATGGATGAAGATGGTGATAAGTCCAATCTTGTACAATTTGTGGATACTTTCCTGTTTGAGGCTCATACATCTGCCATTCGCTGTCTCGCCTTGTCACCATTGCCGAAGGCTGATGCAACAGAAAACGCTCAAGTTATCCTAGCCACTGGTGCTACGGATGAGCGTGTTAATCTTTACTCTCTTTCTGCTGCTCCTGTTGCAGTGAATGACTTATATCCCACCGTACCGACTCTCGCGGGCAACAAAATCCTTGAGAATCCCAAGAACCGCGAGCTGGGCACACTGATGCATCACTCCGCTCCGATTTCGGCTTTGGAATTTCCCTCCCGATCAAAGATTCTTGTTGGTTCTGAGGATAATACAATCTCCGTTACCAGAACTCGGGATTTCTCCGTTGTATCCACCATCAAGGCCCCTCGTCCGAAAGTTCAGGGTAGGCCAAGCGGTGACACAGCACCCCCGGGAGGCACCCCGTCCGGTGTCAATGATATCGCTGTCCATCCTAGTATGAAACTGATGCTGAGTGTGGGCAAGGGAGAAAAGTGCATGAGGCTCTGGAACCTTGTTACAGGGAAAAAGGCGGGCGTGTTGAACTTCAACCGAGAGATTTTGCAAAGCGTCAAGGAGGGCAAATGGAGCACTGGAGAAGGAAGGAAGATAGTGTGGAACTCGAAGGGTGATGAGTTTGCTGTGGCATTCGAGTGGGGTGCAGTTGTCTTCGGCATTGTAAGTTTGATGTTGCATATCCCCCATTGCAAGGGCCATTCTTTAACATAGTATACAGGACTCCACTCCCATTTGCAGGGTTTTCCCCAGCCCCCGGAGTAAGCTTCACCAGATGAAGTACGTCAACCCAACGCCTTCTTCCGATGACAGCGATGAACTGCTTGCTGTCTCGACGGAAGATGGTAGGGTCATTTTCTACTCTACTAAGCAGGTTCAAGAGGCGACAGAGGAGGATGATTCGCCCATCCCCTATGCGGAAGCTGTTGCTCAGCTCGGCGGTAGAGCAGCAGGCTTCCCCGGAAGAGTGAAGGACTTCGAGGTCCTTGATCTAAATGATCAACGAGTTGCTGGAAAGGATAACCTTCTGGTAGTAACAGGAAATAGTGAGGGCTTGGTCCGTGTTTGGCTGCTGCAAGGAGCCGATCTGGTCAAGAAGGATACAAGAGGTACCAAAAAGAAGTCCGCCGAGACGGAGAAGAAAGTCTTCCAGGTTGGTAAGTTCTTGAATGCCTATGGCACAGGCAACCGAATCACCTGCCTCAAAGCATTTGTGATGCTGGCTCCTGAAGATCCTTCGACGCTAGAGGATTCGGAAGAGGACTATGATGAAGAAGTGAGCCAGGATGAATCCTCCAGCGAAGAGAGCGATGAAGATTAGGTTTACCGCCTATTTGATGATTGTCTTACTGTATATACCCAACCCTTGTTGATAGGCAAACGGATGTGTAAAATCATACCATTGCAGTCTTCCATTATCTAGAGGTGCTTTCCGTATCACTCCCCCACAACTCTCCCTACATTACGAATGGTCACATTACCGACGTCCCATACAAACTTCTGGACCCTTCACTGCTTCGTGGTAGTCGCTTTTGACGTCTGTACGAGCCCCTGTATGCCATGTTGGTCACACAGGTCGACAAATTCGTATTCTCATTGAGCCATTCCACTTTAGTTCGACAAGTATAAGCATGGGCATCAATACAGACGGTGAATATCTTTCAGTATTAATTCAAGTAGGTGCGAGCCGATCGACTGAGAAAGTGAGGTTCATTTTTGGCAAAGAGGTGAGTCAGTATAAATCCTGCCGCCGCCCACCGCCCACTCGCTCTCCACTGCACAAATCACAACCCCACTGGCCGAACCGTATCATATCGCCTCCGTCCTCAAGCAGCAATTTTCATCAGACAACACGACCCTCGCCCCTCGCCCTCTCCACCCCCCATCACCCCCCTTTTCTAGAACCGCTGTTGTCTCTCGATTTCACTAGCAATTATGGCTGCCAACGGCGACTTCTCTGACGACGAGTCCCAGCCTGGATCCCCCATGCTCGATGCGAACGGTCATGATGACATCGAAGAGCAAGAGCCCCTCGACCAGGAGTCCAAGCCTCTGAAGTCTGCGATGAAGAAGGCGGTTCCTCCTCCCCAGCCCAAGCGGCCAGAGCTGCCCGAGCAGCCGAATCCGGAGACTCTGGACCTGTCCACGCTGACTCCTTTGACCCCCGAAATTATTGCGCGCCAAGCCACAATCAACATTGGCACCATCGGTCACGTCGCTCACGGCAAGTCGACGGTCGTTAAGGCTATCTCCGAGGTCCAGACTGTCCGTTTCAAGAACGAGCTGGAGCGAAACATTACGATCAAGCTGGGTTATGCCAACGCGAAGATCTACAAGTGCGACAACCCCGAGTGCCCTAGGCCGACATGCTTCAAGAGCTTCAAGAGTGAGAAGGAAGTCGACCCGCCTTGTGAGAGGGATGGCTGCAGTGGCCGCTACAGACTGTTGAGACATGTGTCGTACGTTGAACCTCAGAATCCTGTGTAGTCAAGTTATTCTATGCTAACTCAGAGATCGAAATTAGTTTCGTCGACTGCCCCGGTCACGATATTCTGATGAGTACTATGTTGTCTGGTGCCGCCGTCATGGACGCTGCCCTTCTCCTTATTGCCGGAAACGAAACTTGCCCTCAACCTCAGACTTCGGAGCACTTGGCCGCCATCGAAATTATGAAGCTCAGCCACATTATCATTTTGCAGAACAAGGTGGACTTGATGAGAGAGGATGGTGCCCTGCAACATTACCAGTCGATTCTGAAGTTCATCCGTGGTACCGTCGCCGATGGCTCTCCGATCATTCCCATCTCTGCACAGCTCAAGTACAACATTGATGCTGTCAACGAATACCTGGTTTCGCACATTCCGGTCCCTGTCCGCGATTTCACCGCTTCCCCTCACATGATTGTCATTCGCTCCTTCGATGTGAACAAGCCCGGTGCCGAGATCGAGGAGCTGAAGGGTGGTGTTGCCGGTGGTTCCATCTTGACTGGTGTTTTGAAGCAGAACGACGAGATTGAGATTCGCCCCGGTCTGGTCACCAAGGACGAGAATGGCAAGATTCAGTGCCGTCCCATCTTCTCTCGGGTCATGTCCCTCTTTGCCGAGCACAACGACCTTAAGTTTGCCGTCCCTGGTGGTCTGATTGGTGTCGGTACTCGCGTGGATCCTACTCTGTGCCGTGCTGATCGTCTCGTTGGTTTCGTCCTTGGTCACCGTGGACGCCTTCCCGCTATCTACACCGAGCTGGAAGTTAACTACTTCTTGCTTCGTCGTCTGCTCGGTGTCAAGACCGCCGATGGCAAGCAGGCCAAGGTTGCCAAGCTTACTAAGAACGAAGTTCTCATGGTTAACATTGGTTCTACGGCTACCGGTGCTAAGGTCGTGGGTGTCAAGGCTGATGCCGCCAAGCTCAGCTTGACCAGCCCTGCTTGTACCGAGGTCGGAGAGAAGATTGCCATCAGTCGGAGAATTGAGAAGCACTGGCGTCTGATCGGTTGGGCCAACATTGTCGCGTAAGTCTAAAGCTCCGCCCCTTACACTCCCCAAGATTTCTTCCCTGCTCTGAGAGAATGACGTGATATTAACTTTGGTCATAGTGGTAACACCCTTGAGCCCATCCTGAACTAAAGAAGTTATTGCCCGCTTGGATGGCCAGGCTTGTATCCACCAGATTACGGCTGGTGGGGACGTCAAAGAGTCTCTGACACCAAGTCTTGGCAGGGTCAAGTCACGAATGAAGTAGAATGGTTTGCAGTAGCGAAAGGGGGTGTCAGTTAACTCCCTGATTAGAGACCACAGGGAGCCTAATCGTCGCCTATTCCACCTGCTGATGATTGCGAAGAACAGGAGATCGTGAGTATCCTCCACGATAACCAGTTGAAATGTTCGCAGGATCGAGGAGGCCGGGCAAGCAGCAGGATGGGAAGGCATTTTAGAAGATCAGGTGGCATGGCTGGAGTTGCGCAGACCACTTCTTTGACGTGTGTTACGACGCTTGTGGAAAATATTTCTTACAATTTTTTTTTTCTTTTTTTGTTCATTCTTATTATTCGGTCCGGCTCGCATGGCTCTATGTAGATGCTGTATAGGGGAATGATGAACGCAACGAAATAAAAGTCAGAATTTCTTTGATGTCCAATACGCCGCTATTGAAAACAAGCATAAATGGGGAGCTGAATGAAGGAGTTGTTTGTTCTGCTGCGGCCTTGCCTCCGAGGCTACCGCGGCGGTTGACTAAGGCGCGGACCAGCTCCTCTTTTAACTATTCTCTTACTCCCCCATTCATTGCTTTGTCCGCAACCAAAAGGCCACATCACAGCAGGCTCAATTTCAGGCTGCTGTAGTGCTGTGGGTGTCGCAATGTATATCCTCGAGGTAAAGTTCCCGTACAGACCTCTTCATCACCATACTAGAAGTTCATCTGGTCTTCCCTTCTAAGCTTGAAGCTCCAGCTAACTCGGGTCATCGTGGCCGTTACAGCAACTGGCGCGTTTCCTCGACCGCCCATTCATCCCCTGGAAGAATGTCCTCGTCGGATTTTCTCTAGGCCAATTTCTTTTGGAGGGCTTTCTGTCTCTCCGTCAGTACAAAGTGCTGCAACGAACAAAGCCCCCGCAAGTATTGGCGGGCGAGGTTTCCCAGAAGGTTTTCGATCAGAGTCAGGTAAGCATCTCTACATGAACTCAGCAACCACATCATACTGATCAGACGTTTCCGGGCTCATTAGTCCTACGGTCGCGCCAAAGCCAAATTCGGTCTTGTTGCAGGTCTTTACGGTCAAATTCAAAATCTTGCTTTCATCTATGGCGACATTCTCCCCAAGCTTTGGGGAGTCAGCGGTCTCCTGTTGGCACAATACTTTCCTTCTCGGTTCCAAGGTGAAATCTCGCAGACGCTGCTATTTGTCTTCGGATTCAACCTGATCAGCACGGTTCTTTCTCTTCCCATCTCGTACTACAATACTTTCGTCCTTGAGGAGAAGTTTGGTTTCAACAAGCAGACTTTCAGTCTCTGGGTTACGGACTTGCTCAAGGGACAAATGCTTGGTATCGTACTTGGAACACCCATTATTAGCGCAGTTCTCAAGATCATTCAGAAGACCGGCAACTCCTTCTTCTACTACCTGTGGCTCTTTGGCGTCTTCCTCCAGATCTTCGCTATCACCATCTACCCTATTGTTATCCTGCCCTTGTTCAACAAATTGTCGCCCCTTGAGCCTGGTGCCATCAAGACCGGTGTCGAAAACCTCGCTAAGAAGCTTAAGTTCCCTCTTCAAGAGCTGCATGTCATTGACGGCAGCAAGCGGAGCGCACACAGCAACGCCTACTTCTATGGTCTCCCTTGGAAAAAGCACATCGTCATCTACGACACTTTGATCGAGAAAAGTGAGCCTGAGGAGGTTGTTGCAGTCCTGAGCCATGAACTGGGTCATTGGAGTCTTAGCCACACCACAAAGCTTTTCGGTATTGCTCAGGTATGTTCCTGGGTCACAAAGCAGACCAACCACTTCCTTATGAGTGGCCAAAATAGTATAACGACAGGCTGACCTGTACTAGTTCCATATGTTCTACATTTTTGCGCTCTTCTCCGCATTCGTGAGCAACAAGTCTTTGTATCAGTCGTTCGGCTTCTATAGCCAACAGCCCATCATGATCGGATTCCTCTTGTTCTCGGATGCTCTCGCACCGATGGATGCTGTTGTCAAGCTTTTGATGAACATCCTCAGTCGCAAGTTTGAATTCGAAGCTGGTAAGCCTTCAAGACCCTTGAATCAGAACCGTGATTATGGCACGATACTAATCAAACCATCAAGATGCCTTTGCTGTCGGTCTCGGTTATTCTGAGCAGCTGGCGCAATCCCTTCTCAAGCTGCAGATCCAGAACTTGAGCACCATGGACGCTGACTGGATGTACGCAAGCTACCACTACTCTCACCCTATTCTTTCCGAGAGACTCAAGGCGCTCGGTTGGAAGGGTGGAAAGGTTACCGCTCTCAAGGAGGAGGATAGTGAGAAACCAGTTAAGGCGGCTGACCGCGAGCTGTGAAAAGTTGACATTCTAGTGTCTCCTTCCTTTTTCTGGTATGGTGTTACAGGGCCGGTTGAGGGGAGAGGCCCGCCGGATATGGGCTTCTGAAGGCATATTCAATTGTTAATGGATTTTTGAGTTCTTATCACCGGTTATAATAAACCAATCGTAATCGTCTTCCAATGGATTAAGTTCGCCTTGAATGCGCCAATGCAATATGCACAAGTCTAATATATCTTGGGAATCCAAGACAGACAGCAGAAAAACAAATCCCGTAGCAAAGCCGATGCAACCCATAGCAAAACCTGCGCGCAAAACAGTAACTTTTCTTTCGCTTTCATTCACTACTCAAGCGTCCGACTTGGCCTTCGCTCTCTTCTCTGCAAGTCTGCGCTCCTTCTTCTTCCGCTTCCTTTCCTCTTTATCAAGACCCGCAGCAGTCTCGGCATTCTGCTCTGTCTCAACAGCATCCATATCCATGCGGACATCGTCATCATCATCGGCAGCAACAACCTCCTCTTGAAGCTTCTTCGGGTCCTCCCACCCCTCATTTCCGGCCTCTGTCTGCTGCGCATTGCCCTCCTCTCCAGCGCTGAGCTTCGCAAGAGCCAGATCCCTGCCCAGAACTTCGCCAGCAAGGCCAGCCTGAACGCGCTTCAGGTTGTGCAAAATGAGGTTGGGTGCGGCAGCCGTGGTGCGCGAGGTCGGGCCATGTTCGCTGATACCGGCATTAGGTTGGAGGGCGGGGTCTGTGGCGGCGCGATCGAGATAGGCGGCTAGGAAATCGTGCGCGGCAGCCTGGGAGATAGGCTTGGAAGAGAGGATGGTTGTAGGGGGTAGCGGAGAGGGACCCTGGGTGGCCATTGTGGTATATAGTGATAAATATTGTTTCTCGACTTGTCGCAGAAGTGTTCAAGTATATGTAAAGGTTTGTAATAGGAGTAGTGCCCCAAATGTCGAGAAGGGTTATTCGTTCAGTAATAATAGCAACCTTCCGTACTCAGTTGTGTCAAAGTAGGTAGAACCGGTTTATTTCGTTATTGCTCGTTTATTGCACCAATTGAGCAGATATGGAGAACTGTAGATGCGCTCTTGCATCGTCCGGCGGAGAGAAAAAGTCGGAGGTGGTCCGTGCACTGCGGCGCCGGAGTTCAATTTTCAGTCCGCCGTCACGGACAACATCTCGCATCCCTCCATCGCCGTCCCCAGGTTTCCGCGTCAGCGACGTCCAATTACGCCTCACCGTCGTCTTTAACCTTCTCATCAATATGCTTTGCCTTCGGTGTACGGCTCTGCCGACCGCTTTCAGGTCCTTTGCGGCCCCAGCAACCAGGTACGTCCGTCCGAGTCTGGCACCCTGGATCCAATGAGACCACGCATCTAGGCTCTGTATATGGTCCGATTCCTCAATCGGGACAGGCAAATCGTCAGGGGAAGCTCTGGCACCTTAGGCACTTAATAGCATGGATGAATGAAATGTCTGACTTCAGTTGATTCACTAGACTCACCTCCGCACCGCTCACATCCACCGCAACCTCTCTATCAACACCGTTCCGTGCCCTCTCCTCCACGACCCTCTCCTCGCTCCGCCTCCCTCAACAACATCTCCCCTCTCAGAGCCTCATTACCTCTTCTTCCACCACTACTATCCGCTCTCTGCTCTCCACCAACAACTCCTTCGCAAACCAACAGACCCGCTCCTTCTCCGCTAGTGCCTCGTTGGGTGGAAAGCGCGATACCTACAACCCCTCGCGGAGGGTGCAGAAGCGCCGTCACGGATTCTTGGCTCGGTTGCGCTCGCGAGGTGGACGGAAGATTCTGTTGCGGAGAAGGGCTAGGGGGCGGAAGTCGCTGAGCTGGTAGATTGGAATGCGTTGTTTGGTGGTGATGGGTTCCTCGGTTTTTGTTCAATCTCATATTGTGTGTGGGCTGTGTACTATGACGTTTATTGCTCTTTGATTTTTGCGGTATCTGGATTTACTTTACTTGTGGGGAAGTTCGGTGATGCGTCTTGTGCTTCCTGTGCCCCTCAGAGTAGGATGGCATGAGGTGATTCAGCATGGAATATGCCGAGCGGACCTTGCTCGCGTTCCGGGGGTATCCTTTGCGTTACTGGGATGGGGGTGGTATGAGTCTAGGGGTTCTATCTAGCTACCATTAATAGGACGTTGTCCTATGTGTACCATATACATATTTATACATAGATATCTCATTGTCACGTGGTTTGGTTTATTTACTTGGAGTGTGGTGGAGTCAGGGTGTAGATCTAACATCTCAGGTTAGCTATATTTCTCTCACAAAGATCGAGAGATGGAAGCTGTCTGGTACAAAAGGCTTGAAGCAGTGAAGAACAAATCATGTCACCTAAGAGACCTAAGGGCCAAGTAATATTTAGTAGTGGCTGAACGCAAAAGCATCTGCCAGCACTGTTTACTACAACAGGCAAGGAGAATGGAGAGGAACGAAAACATATTCGTGAAGTATTTAGGATGGTACATATAACAATTGCATCAAATCATACCTGCCAAGGTCTGGTAAGTGTCAATAAACTACATCATTCAGATTAGGTTCAAGTCTCTGGTTGTTGACTGGCACCTAAGTTGAACAATATATCATTAACTTCAAAAATCATTTGCGTGTCTGCTCAGTTGGAAACATCTCTAACAATACAGATCACACGGGTCGGCATATTTGTCCCAGACTTTCAGTGTCCCTTAATAGAGGTGGCTGATCTTTCGATCTAGGTGCCATCTAGGGATTGGCTCAAATATATCCTGTCATGTCTAGTGGTCGTCGTGTGTATGGCATCACTCATCATCTTCGTCATCCTCCATGTCTTCATCGCTGTCGTCTTCGTCTTCAGATCCGGTTTCGTACTCATCATCATCGTCGTCGTCAGACTCCTCGTCCTCGTCATCGCCGACCTTCAGTCCATAGTCATCTTCGAATTCCTTGAGTGGCTGCACCGCTGGCGTGAATCCCGATGCCTGGAGACCTTCCTTGATAGTCTAAGCCGACAGTTAGTAAATGACACACGAGAGTATGATAATTTCAGGGAAAGCAAACCTCCTCAAGCACTGTAGCGCAGGTAACCACGATATTCGCCGTGGATGGGTTGAACAAAGGCAGAATGATGCTCTTCAGAGCACCCTTCACGTCATCAACGCTAGTAGCCCGCACCTGCTTGAGCACCCGCTCTTTGTAGTCGCTAGGTAGGCGCCGAATCACCTGTCGAATGAAACTGCCGGAGGCTGCGGCACCAATGGTCGACTGTTCATTCGCAAAGCTAACAACAATGCTGCTAATGGAGCCCTCCAGCATCAAAGGATCGAACGGCATCGCACCAGAGAGATGATCCTCAACAATCTGTTTGCTTGAGTCGAAGGCCTTATGGGCGTTGGGAGAGCGATAAACGTCAAAGTTGACGAATCCGGTGTCGATGTTGTAGGCGAAGTTCGTGCCATATGCCAAACCCTTGCCTCGAACCGCAACCCAAAGGGGTCCCTCGACCGCATTCATGTATGCGATTGCAACCATCAAGGCAGGAAGTCTTGGATCATCATACGAATCCAGACCCCGTGCAGTTGCATATGCGAACGATGAATCAATCGTCGGCATAGGGACCACATACGACTTGCCGCCCAAGTTCTGACCAGCCTCACTGAGCAACGGTCTTCTGGCCGTGATAGGCTCCAGAGGGGCACCTGCACCCAAACGCTCTGCAAATGGTTTCCATGCTGACACAGGGTTTTGAAGTTTCTCCAGGTCAGCGATGACCAAGACTCGCATGTTCTCGAAGCGGAAAAGCGCGTCTCTGATCTCTTCCATGCGCGCAACGACAGACTTCGGCTCTTCTGCCAGTTGCTTCTTGATCCGTTTCAAGTAACGCGCCTTCACCAAGGTGCTCCGAGCCCGAACAATAGATTCTGCCGCGTAGTGGACCATCACATGAACAGCCGCGAGCATGTCATCACCACTACGCTTGGAATCGGGTACATCGGAAAGCAGTCGGCTGGTAATCGCTCGGAGTCGCTCGACATCGAAAATCGAGTTCCAAGAAAGTTCCTGGATCCATGCAATCGCCGTATGATACTTCTCAAGCTCCACCTGGAATGAGATCCGCAGCATCTCCGAGTTTCCTAGGCTTCTGGCTCCTTCCATGGAGTAGCCAACTGTGTCTCTTTCCAATTCCACAACCACCTGCTCAAAGTTAATGGTTTCCCCATTCCGGTTGACAGGCAGGTTGAAAAACGCCTCGGTATACACGGACAGCAATGGGCGAAGCTGCACAGGTACGGCCTGCGCCGAGATGAGAAGGGAGAGCTGCACGAAGCTACTGGGGATATGCTCAAAATGGATGAACAGGGGCAGATCGGATCCATCAGCATCCACCAGTTTTTGCGCCTTGTGGGACGGGCGTCCGGCATCCAGCGCTGCACCGGACCTGGCTGTAGTAGTGTCCACGAAATGGATAGACTCTACCCCGGGAATTTGGAACCTCTCCAGCATCTCCTTGGGGATCTCCTTGTCATTTTCAGCTTTAGCTTTCTCCAGCTTGTCGGCCAGCTTCTTCAGCCCTTCCTCACCCAAGCGCTTCTTTTGCTCTGCGACTCTAGCTTCTTCTTCCTTCTTCAGTGCGTCAGACATTTTGACGGACGGGACACCCAGGATAGTGACATGGTTGGCATCAGAAATCCACGTCTTGATGAAAGTGCGCCATTGTGCTTCACTCCACTTCTCCAACACGTCATATTCTTGCAAGGTCGCAACATCAAGCATAGTCGATCCGTCCCTCTTTCCGAAAAGGAAATCCGAGATCACGTACTCCGCAAAGGAAGAGGCGGAGCTTTCAGTAGAGAACTTCCAGGTCCGCCTTTGCCGGTCAATGCACTCCTTGATATATCTCATATCCAATTCCTTCTCCATAGCATCCTTGAGCACTTCGAAAAATCGTTGCTCTACCTTTGCCAGTTTCTCTGTCTCCACACTGGTCAAAGTGAAGCGAATCTCAATACTGGGATGATCTTCGGTAGCATAATAAACAGCACTGGCGAGCTGCTCCTTCTCAACCAAGATGTTGTCCAAGAGGGAAGCAGATGAACCGGCCAAATACAACAATGCAACATTAACAGCCCCGGCTGTTACAGTGTAAGTATCACTTCGAAATGAGGGAATTGGCGAAACACTCACTTTGAACAGGATCGGTACAGTCCGGACCGAGGAATCTAATCTCTATCTCTCCAAAGGATTCATCTTCTTCCGGGAATTCCACAGTCTGGACAATGGACTTCTGCAATGGCGGCGCCTGCTTGGAATCTACCCACGGTCTCTTGAAAGGTGAATCAGGACTGGGAATGACATCTAGAATAGTATCTTCAAATTTGTCCAAGGTCTCCAGCATGTTTTGGTGATCTACTTCGCCTGTGATAATCAGGCATAAGTTCTTGGGCTGGTACATCTCACGATGGAACGCTCGGATACGATCCGCGGTGAGTACACGGAGCTGCTCCATCATACCGCCTGTCTCGTAGCGGAAGCCTACACCATGCGGGTAAGTCAATCGACGAGCGGTTAGATCGATTAACTCCGCAGAGTTATTCTGCACACCCTGCATCTCCGAGTAGACGACTCCGGCGTCGTCACCGGAGCCGTCAATATGATGCACTTCGGTATAGCACCCTTCATCTGTCAGTGTTGGAGCTATAACATGCTCTAGGTACACGGGTAAGATTTGAGCAAATCCTTCCCAGCCTGCTGTGTCCAAGGTGTAGGCCGTGTGATCTGTGGCCGTCCAGGCATTAGTGCTCGAATAAACACGTGTTGCCAGCTTGTCAAGGAAGCCCTTATATCTATAGTTGCGAGAGCCCATGAAGCACAAGTGCTCCAATGTATGAGGAGCACCCGAGTCATCGAGAATCTCAGTGGCTAGAACAAAATATCCTGTGACTTTGGGTCCTTTTTGGTCAATGACCACTACCCTCATGCCTGTTCTCTCCGATTCATACTGAGCAAACTCGCTAGGCGAGTACTCCGGCTTAAACTTCTGGAGTAGCTTGAAATGGCTGT